CTGGCCACCTCGACACCGGCCAGCCCAGTTGTCGAGGCCAACCGGCCAGTTGACATCTGCCGACCGGCGAGCCCCGAGGCGCCGGCGCTGGGGGCGAACTGAAGGAAGGGGCCCTCGCAGACGCGAGAGGTGAGGAGGCTGGTGGAACCGCCGAGGCCGGCCGTCTCGCCGAGCAGTCGGCGCCCGCCGGCCAGCGGAGCCGGCGCCGCGCCGGACTCGAACCGGTCGCATTGGTCGCTGCTGCGTCGGCTCGAGCCGCTCGACGGCGCTTGGCTGCGCAACAACGGCACGACTCGCCGCGCAAGCCCGGACAGGTCGGAGGCCGACGGCCGACGGTCGTCGACGTTGATGTTGACGTTGACGTCGACGTCGTTGGCAGCGACGGCGGCGGCGGCGGCGGCGGCGTCGCAGCTGTGCCGGCGCAGGAAGGAGACCGTGGGCACACTGAGCCCGAGGAAGAGGGAGGCCGTCTGCCTGCCGGCCTCGTTGACGTTTGACGCGGAAGCGTTCAGATCCGTCTTGGCGAGCTGTTGGCTGTCGGGGCGCAGACCCTCTCTGCTGGTCAGCTGGAAGGGGGACAACAGAAGCCCGACTCAAGCATGCTCCTCATTGGACAGCTACACTTCTCCCAACTACAACACTTTGTCTCCTCGTTCGGCTGCTTGCGTGTTTCCGCTCAATTGGATCTTACGTCGTGTTGTGGCATGACTCGAAGGGAACGTCGGTTGGAGGCAATTCGTGATGCGACCGAAGGAGGATTTATAGAAGTGGGTTGAACTGGTTGTTGTAACTTGGTCTTGTTGTCAAGACGACTTGGTAGAATGCACCTAGTCCGAAATCGTCTGCCAGAGTAATTGTCATGATTCCCAGCATCAGATAGTGGACTTGGTACACTTGGCCGGCGAAACGTTCGAGAATCTACCAAGTCCATCCTATCTGATGCTGGGAATCATGACAACAACTACGGCAGACGACTTCGGACTAGGTGCGTTCTACTAAGTCCCCTTGACAAGACCAAGTTGCAACAACTAGGTCAACCCACTTCTATAAATTCTGCGACCGTACCACAGGCCACGACATCTTGGTCCTCATATTTTCGAAG